AGCGTGTTTTGTAAACACACTTCAGCTTAGTTTGGAAAATTCGGCCAAACTAGGCTTAGTTTGAGAAATAATTTAGTTAGGGACTTAGTTTGGGAAAAGCCTCTGTTTTTTGGCATAACTACAAGGGATTAAAGTATAATTTAACCACATATCAAGGCCATATGTAAATTTTAACCAAAAATATTATTTATAATTTGATATCAGTAATGTTAGGAATATATAAAGAAAACATAGAATCTGACAAATATCACACAAGGGAAATGATGGGTCTAATATGTGAACCCTATATTATATGGGCCTTACCCAATGAGATATCTATATTTTATTTTGTGTTTAATCGTTTATGTACTTAGATTTATTGATTTGGTATTAAGGCATTGTTTGGAAAGAAATTATTTTAGCTCAAAATTCAAAATGTCACTACAACTTGTCAAATTGTTTTCTTTATTTTTTTTATATATCTTTTTATAAAAAATTTAAAAAATCACTATAAAAATTAATTTACAAATGAACCCTTTATTGTGACAATTTTACAAGATTTCAAGTACCATAAAAATGCTAGACCAAAGTTGGTACGGACTCGGAACCGCTCAATAATTTCGAGTCGCCGATGACACCAACACCAACACCAACACCAACACCAACACACTTATTTTTTTTTAATTTATTTATATAGAGATCCCTCATGCTGAATCAGACCTGCCTTTTTAGTCCCTCTCTTTGCCCCTTTTTTTATGCGAATATTCACAAATCTGACCTTCCCATTTACTTTACACTCTCTCTCACTTAGAGCGTGTCAATCAAATTTCACTTCCACACTCTCTCTCACTTAGAGCGTGTCAATCAAATTTCACTTCCACTCACTTAGAGCGTGTCAATCAAATTTCACTTCCATGTTGATTTGTACGTGGGGGTGCAATTTGATTGAAATTTTTTACGACATGAATCAAACCGTGTTGTTAAATTGACTCATTTTGAGATTCGTTTTTTATAATTTAAATAGTTTATATTTTAAAATATATTAAATAAAATATATTTAAAAAAAATTAAATTAATTAAATATCGTTAACTATTTCATCGAATAACATTTGTATTTAAAAAGTAAATGACAATTATGATTTGAAGTATGAAAATGAATAAAAATTTGAATAGATGAAAGGTTTAACGATATACGATTAATTTGATTTTTTACAGATATATTATACTTAATGTATTTTAAAATATGAACAATTTGAATTATTAAAACAGATCTTAAAATGAGTTTATTTGGTTGCACAGCAAAGACCTCAATTCCATCATATATTGGACATGTTTGGTACAATTTATTATAAAAGTTTTTCAAAAAGATAAAAGTTAAAATTATTTTTTGTTCTGTTGTTAGATAATTAGTTTTCTTTTGATTTATTTAAGTAGTTCTTGTCTATTAAATTAAAAAGTATAAGATATACCCAATAGTCTGATACATATTTTTAAATTAAAATAAATTATAAGTAACTCATTTAAGTTATGCCAAACAATTTCATTTTTTCAAATTATGATTGGATTTGAAAATAGATACCAAGGAATTCGATACAAAATTATTTATATAGATATATAATATTAAATATATATGTTTAAATTATTAGTCATTAAAAAAACCATAATTATTTAGGAAAATGTTTGGTAGCTCAAAATTTTGTGACTCAAATGGCTCAAATCTGTCAAAACGACATTGTTTTACACTCATTTACACTCAAAACAACGTCGTTTTGAGTGATTTGAGCCATTTGAGCGACAAAATTTTGAGCTACCTAGCATTGTTGAATTATTTATATTGTTAAATCATATTCACTTAGAGCATTTCCAATGAACTTTTTAAATAGTATTTGTTAGTTATTATAATTAGCATTATTATATTTTAATAACTTCAATGGGTTAGGTATTACGATAACTATTTTAATAAAAAATTTCAAGACGCTACATTTGAAAAGTCATTAGAGGCTCTTTAAATATTTGTGTGTATAAATAGATAAAATAAAGAAGAAATAATAATGTTGGAGTACACAGATAAAAAATGAATTCAAAAAATAAAAAATATTTTTTAAATTTTAACTAGTGAAAAATGAAAAATATGATTAGAGTTGTTTTTATATCATATACCTAAGTAATATAAAATGGGACTATCATAATTTTTTCTCATTTATAAATGGCAAAAATTACTAGAGTGCGCGTCTATTTCTCAAGGTCTCCTCTCTATCTCTTTTACATCACATGAATTATGTATTTTGATATTATTAACAATATCACACAAAAATATTAATATGGTATAATTTTAACAAATTAATCAGTTTAGTTGAAAATAAAACAAAAAACTTAAATTTGAAGACAACATGGACCTAATCAGACTTCAATTTGTTATGCTCGAATCGGATTTGAGTAAACAATTTGAGATGCAAAATAAGATTTGGACGAATAGTGCAACTCCCAATATAAGTTTGTTAATATTTAAGTAATTTTTAACTTGGTTCTGAGTAGCAGTGTAAAAATAGCTTGTGGCCTGTGGGCGACCCGAAACCCGCCTGCAGCTTGGGATGGGCCAGGGCCTGAGCTATTATTTTGAAGCCCAACCCGGTTCGGCTCGTGGGCTCGGCCCGCTTAGCCCAGTCCATCGTCCTGTTTAAGGCCCACTTAAGGCCCGGCTCAAAGCCTGACCCGCCCGAGACCCAGTGTGTTTTTTAGTAGAAAATAATAAAATTTTAGTAGAAAAATTTTATAAAAAAAATGGTTAGGCCACCCAAGTGCGAGGCCAGGCCTAGGCCCACCGAGCCGACCCATCCAACACCTGAATACCCCCAGGGCTTGGGCCTAATTTTTTGACCAGTGGGTCAGCCAGGCCTGGCTCGAATTTTGGCGGAAGCCCGTGAGGCCCAACATGGATCGGGCTAGACTAAATTTACACTCCTAGTTCTAAGTTGCAATTAAGGGTTGGTTTGCATATAGTTTATTTTTTTGATTTTTTTACAAAATAGCATGCATAAAAATAGAGAGGTAATGCAACTTAAATATGTAAATAAACTACTTTTTTTTTGTGTTACCAAAATAAGCTTTAGTCGGGAAAAATTATTTGGTAATCCTATGCCTTATCAACCACAATATATTATGTCTCTTCATATTTTTCAAATATTTAATGTAAAATTATAAATTTCATATTTTTTACCAATCACAACACTATTGAGGTACTATTTGCGATGTCTAAGACCAATTAATAATTTCTCCTAAGCACTTATTTAGTATAAAGTTACGGGATTAAAATAGTTATAATAAAATAAAATAGACTAAAAAGTTTATAAAATAAAATATTACATTCAAATCATAATTATTACATTTTTTTTCTTACAAAATTTAAAAAAATTAAAAATATATTCTAAATAAAATTTTTTAATCCAAAACTAAAAGGGAGACTTATTTATAAGTTTTTTTTCAGACACTTATGCTAGATTAAGTCCTGTGTAATTTCTTATAGAGTCTCAAGTCCTATTTAAATAAGAATGTATTCCACAAGATCCTACATAAACGTAACGTGACGTGACATCTACATAAACGTAACGTGACGTGACACCTACATATACGTAACGTGACGTGACACCTATATAAACGTAACGTAACGTGACACTTACATAAACGTAACGTGACACCTACATAAACGTAACGTAACGTGTCACATTACGTTTCGCAAACTTAATGAGTTATTATTTTTTTAAATTGAATGCGAAAATGTTGCTGGCTTATGTTAGTGTCACGTTACGTTTCATATAAATATAATCTATGGTAACATTCAATTTCCTAGGAAATTGAATGTTACCATAGATCATAGGTGTTGCGTTACGTTTATGTAGCTGTCACGTTACGTTACGTTACATTTATGTAGATATGATTTATGGTAATATTCAATTTCCTATATAGGAAATTGAATGTTGTCATAGATTATAAGTGTTACGTTACGTTACGTTTATATAGATATGTCACGTTATGTTTATGTAGGTATCACGTTACGTTTATATAGATATGTCACGTTACGTTTATGTAGGTATCACGTTACGTTAAGTTTATATAGATATGATCTATGGTAACATTCAATTTCCTATATATGGTTTTACTATTATTTATGATATTAACAACTAATGTTGAGGGTAAATGTGTCAACAAACTTTATTGGAACATAAATTTTTTAGTAGGACCATATGTAGCATAAGTCTCCCTAATAAGACTTATAAATAATTTTTCCAAACTAAAATAGTCAAAAAAATAAAAATAAAATACCAAACACGTCCCAAACGTTACGTTTATGTAGGTGTCACGTTACGTTACGTTTATATAGATATGATCTATGGTAACATTCAATTTCCTATATATGGTTTTACTATTATTTATGATATTAACAACTAATGTTGAGGGTAAATGTGTCAACAAACTTTATCGAAACATAAATTTTTTAGTAGGACCATATGTAGTATAAGTCTCCCTAATAAGACTTATAAATAATTTTTCCAAACTAAAATAGTCAAAAAAAATAAAAATAAAATACCAAACACGTCCCAAACGAACCAGGGTGCTATGTCGGTATGTTGGGAGTTCATGTATCTTCACACTCTTGTCTAGCGCGTGACAATTCACTATGCAAATAAAAGAGAAGCTCACGGATGTCAATCTAAAATCTTACAGCAAAGGCATCCCTTGATTTTCTCTCTCCTGTCTGCCTCTCTCTTCTCTCTAGCCCATCTGTAAAATCCTTTTTACCAGCACCAAGAAAAGAGTATCATATACGCTCTAAACATTATTTATGGATATAAAATTTACATAAATTACATAATATGTATTTTAATTCTGATAACAAATTTGATAAAATATTTAATAAAATATTTTGGATACTTGACATTTTTTCCCATGAAAAAGCCACCGAATTCACACAGGTGTGAAACCACAACTATTTAAACCAATTGAACTGTCAAAAAAATAAAGAAGCCAGACTCACCATCGTAAATTTCACATTTTTTGTGTAGCCTTTATTTCCTTCATTTTCAGGGGGGTTTGCTGTCAAGACCGACCTTTCAACCATTCAAAGTTCTCTTTTTTGTTCTCATGTAAAAAAACCTTTCATTTGTGTTTTGAACTTTCTCTCAAATCAAGATTCAAGAATCCTTTTTGCATCGCAGCCATGTCTAGTTTGTTCCCCCAGAATTCAAGTTTCTCACCTGCAAGAACTGCTTCTCCACATATAAGGACCAACCCAGATGTTGATAGGTATATTATATGATCCTTTTCGATTCGATTTCGATTCTAATGATTGGGTAGTTTTTGATGAGTTTATTGCTTTGATTGATTTGGGTTTTATATGTTTCTGGGTATTCTTAATTTCTTGTAGTCAGTACTTGGCAGAGCTCTTAGCAGAGCACCAGAAGCTTGAACCTTTCGTGCATGTCGTTCCCATATGCAGCCGACTGTTGAATCAAGGTTGGCAACTGCCTTTGGTTTTGGATCTTGTCTTTCTATGTTTCTATTGGGTTATCTTGTTTTTTGACTAATTTCTACAATGGTTCTGTTATATTATGTGAGAGAGAGAGAGAGAGAGAGAGGATTGGGATTGTGCATGAACCAAATTGGCTGCCAATTGGTTTTCTTGTTTTCAATTTTTTCCAGTTGAAGTTTGAAGGGATATTAATTTAAATTAAGGTTATGATTTGTGTTGCATATGTATTTAGAATTAGAGATTCTTGAATATTTATCCAAAAAAAAAGAAAAAAGAATTAGAGATTCTTGAAGGGTGTTTGTGTAATGGCTTAACAAATTTTGGTATTTGGTGTTTCTATGTATTGTTGATCTCAACGAGCTTGAATCGATTGACATGATTGTTATCATCACCTTGTGTTTGACATATTGACTCTATGTCATAGCCAATCTCTTGCAGTGGTCTCTGAAATCAAGTGTACTTGCTTGAATTACAGATTGTTGTCATCACCTTGTGTTTGACATATTGACTACTCTATGTCATAGCCAATCTCTGTGCAGTGGTCTTTGAAACCAAGTGTGCTGTCCCTCAAAGAGTTGATTTTAGTTAATGGATTGACTGTAATTATTGTTTTGAGTGTTCCATATAGTTTTCACTTGTTTATTACCCCTTCTTTTGATTTAAACTTGGTTTTTATTTCTATTATAGGATATTTTGTTTCATTTCTCCTTTGTTATAAATATAATTGTATGGCCCTGTTTCGAAAATAATTCAAAATTCCAAGTTATTGTAATTTGTATTTATATCCTACCCACAAAAGGAAAAATATTTCATTGCTTCTAATGTTGACAGAGATATTAAGGGTTTCTGGCATGATGTCCAACCATGGATTTAATGACTATGAGAGACTGCAACGTGGAAGCCCTAATCTAATGGCTTCTCAAGACATAAAGCCAAATCTTGGAGGAACAGGTATAGGTGGATGGAGTGGCCATCCACATGAGGTATGTACACACAAAGTCATTCGTGTTTACTACCTCGAATTACTTAAGTGATATCATCTTTTCTGATTCTTCAATCGGGTAATTGTGTTTCCGCTGGTTTAGATTTTACTTACCATAATTGTGTGTGGGCTTGCACAAGTTATTTGTGTATCTAGAATTTTAATGGCCTTGAGTCATAATCAAGAGACATATACAACACAAGATGTTTGTGCTTATAGAGAATTAGCCCTATTTTGTTCATAATATTAACTTATTGACTTATGATTTGGACCATTTGCTTTGTTTATGTATACCATTACGTTGTGTTTGGCTGGAGGATTTAGAAAAGGCAAGGGAAATGGTGTGTGAAACTAGGTGAGATATAGGTGTATTTTATTCACATTTCACCTACTTTTTCCCTTTTCCATTCCAAATTCCTTCCCAAATCTCCTAACCAAACACAACATTAATTTATAAGAATTTCCGATTGCTCCCTTCTAGGAGCTTGACAACCATTCTGGAACACCCATAAGACCACCGAGCTCACTAGGTCAATTCAGTGTACATCCACACTGCTGATGACTCCATGTTTTTAAGCTCAATGGTTACATTAATTTGTATGGAAAGTGATTTACAAACAGAATTTGTATACATAAAGTGCATTTAGAATGATGCAACAGTGGCATGCTTGTAATTATATGACATAATGGTGGGTGTTTTAACTAGAAATGAAATGACCATATAATACCATGTTGTTTTGTATGGAATTTCTATACAGAAATTTTGTTTGTATAGCATCACCCTATCTGTGTTATTAGTTCATATATCATATCAAATGGTTGTCCCTTGTTTATTGTATGAGTAAATAACCAAGCTATTGCAGTTTCTTATAAAGCCCCTGATTTTGGTGTTGTTAGCTTGCTTAACTTTGTACTTCATTTAAATCAAAAAAGATTTGTACTTCATCAGTTTAAAGCAGTCAAATTTGTGGTATGCAGTACATCCCCATAAATTTTCAATTGAAGTACAATAAGAACCGTCGTTATTATATGAAGTATGCATGCCCTGTGATTTTAATTTACAATTGACTTTATTGAGAAAGCCGCATAAATCAGGGACCTAAAAGCAACTCATATGCACTAGTCAAAGTTTTAAAAGGCTTTACGGAGGTTCGCCTCAAGGCTAGGGTAAAACTCATCAAGGCTTTGATTTTTAGGCTATACTCCCCCAAGGCTTGTGTATCCCAGTCTAAGATATACGCTTTTGGTGCGCCTTGTACGCCTTTTACTCGTAAGAATATAAAGAGCACGCACATGAAGAGGTTTTCTTAGGCTCTTGTTAAACATAGTCTAGTAGATGGTTTAAACATAAAAAAGCAAAAAATAAAAAAGAATCTCTTTTGCAACTATATGTTATAGGAGTAAATGATCAATCAAGGAAAAACACAAAATTAATGCTCAAGTGAGAAACTCAATCACTAAAGTTAAGAATGTCAATTTCACTTTTAATGAAGGCAAGTTTCATTCTCTGCAATGAAATGTTTAATGCCTTAAGAAAAAAAAAATATTTACACCTATATATTTAGGCCAAGTTTGGCATCCCCTATATAATCCATCTTTTTATCTTTTTTCCATCACATCACCTCTCTACTTTTCTGCACATCTTTTCGTAAAAAGACAAAAAGTACACTTATTTAGATCATCCCAAACAACCCCTTAATTTTTCTTTATTTATTTTACTATTTTAAAATATTTAGTTTATTTACTAAATATTAAAATTTAAAATTTGAAATGCAACGTCTTAAGGTATATGCCTCGCCTCATGAGGGGTAAAACGCCTTGACTTACGCATTCGTCTTTAAAAACTTTGGCACTAGTAATCAATATCAACAGGAGAGTGATTTTTTTTTTCCCTCTCTTTTTCTTCTTTTTATTTTCTTTGGTAATAATAAAATTTGGTGTAAATTATACTTTTAACACTAAAGTATGAGTCAATTCTCACTTTGGCCCTTAAAGAAAATAATCTATCAAACAATTTCAATGTGGTCTAATTTGTAATGGATGTTTAATTAGCGGATGGAAAATGCCACGTAGAACTGTGTTAGATGTTATTGAACCTGATAAGTACTGAACATTGAGCCCTGGGTCTAATGGGGAGTTCAGGAGGCCTCCTCGAGGGTTGGGGAGTTTGGGAGTTTACCCCCTTGGTCTGATTTTTTGGGTACTTTGGTAATTTTTTTGTTGCTTCCACGTTGCCCTAATTTCTATGAGCAACACTTGTATTGTGTAAGAGATTTGTAATCATTTTCTGATCATAGTGAACCGTGGGTGAACCGCGTAAATTCTTGTGTTCTTGTGTGTGTGATTGATTAATTCAATTCGTTTTATCTTTCTTGCTTACTATTTTGTCCCACCGATTTCGGTTAGGAATTGTTGATTTCCTAACACATTGTCTTGACCCCCCTAACCTAAGGGCAAAATGTGGAATTATGAAAAAAAAAAAATATCCCACACCAAAAAATAAAAAATAAAAAATAAAAAAATAAAACAAAATAATCATTAACCAATTGAATTTTGCCACATCATTGGAGAGTGGTGTAATTCACCGCACTAAATCATATCAACCACCCCCTCGCCACTTTTCTTTTCATCCTTACCGTAAGCCTACTACCTCAACCAGCCCTTACCTCCCTTTTCCCTACAAGCTGCGATTACTTATTCACACTTACCATCTTCCTCCTCCTAACCCCTCATTTCGATCCCCGTGTTGCCAACCCCCACTACATCGAACCCTACAACCCCTCTTCTTCCACAAGTTAACCCATCACCACCACCTTTTCTTTCTCTCATCTTTTTCCCCCATCTAGCTCCTGCCACCACCAAGGCCCCTCTTCCCAAATTGACACCCTCCTTCACCCTTGAGACCTCCCTCTATCTTCGTTCTCTAACCCATTGCCACCCTTGAAAAGCCCCTTCCTTACCCCCCTGCACCCACCTCCACCTTAGAGAGCCCCCTCCACCAACCCTCTCTATACCCACCCTCACCCTCACCCTCACCCTAACCCTCACCCTCACCCTAACCCTCACCCTCAAACCCAAGCCCTAACTTCCCTATTCTCTCATGTTTTTGTTGATTCTTGGTTTTCATTGATCTTTGGTCTAATGTGTTCAATTTTTTAGATAGAACTTGTGAGGAATAGCCTATAATGGAGAGGATCACATTGACTTGTTGGCTTGATTTTCCATGGAATGTATGTGAGAGTGAGAGTGAGAGTGAGAGTGAGAGGTGTGGCTAGCGCAGATCTCTCAACTGTCAATTCTGATCAAATTGGGACGAGGTCAGAGAATTTTAAGTTTTTTTTTTTTTTTTTTATATTTTAAATACAAGTATTTTATACATATATATACATATATTTTTATACATAATAAAAATATACTACATAATGTAAATTATGTATATGAGATAAATGCCCCTAATTATTAGTCATGTGTCTTGCAAATGGTTGTCTCCTATCTAACAATTGAATAATTGTTAGAGTTTGGATCATATTGAAAACATTTGATAGTTTAAGGACTAAATTGGGGGAAAAAATTCCTTAAGAACCAAAGTGAGAATTGGCCCGTACTTTAGGAGAGCAAAGTGTAATTTATTGTAAAATTTGAGAAAAGGAAAGTATAATGTCTTTCTGGACAGAAGTATGGTTCAATTTGCTTCAAAGCTTTTATGATCAACTTGTTGCTTCTATTGAGATTTCTTTTCCCCACCTTTTTTTTTAAAAAAAGAAAAAAAGAAAAAAATAAAGAAATCTCTTTTTCTAATTAATGGATTTCTCTAAATAAGTGTAGCACTAATGTCATATAACACTATGGATTTTAATAACATACTCCTAAATTTCATTTACTTCTCTTTCATAAGATATCATTGATTATAGGCTACACTGTTGTATGCACATCGGATACATATATACAATGTTGGTAGTTAGATGCCCATGTCAGTGAGCTCTCATGATAAATATATGCTGGTTACTAGCACACACGTGTGAAGGCAATCGTCTTTTCAAGACATTTGCATGGGAAAGAAGAGGCATCATTATCATCACTATCATTTTTTACTTGGCCTTGTACAAAGAGGGAGCATATATATTTAAGTGTGAGGTGTATTTCACCTATACATGAGAATGAGAGAGAGAGAGAGAGAGAGAGAGAGAGTGGAACCTCGCCTCTCATTGTTAGTCTTTCTCTTGGTCTCTCCCAAAAGGCCATAATCTATGTGCTTTAAAATTTAGAGTGTGGAAAATCAAAGAGGCTCTTGTAGTCTCTTTGACAGGTTGGTGTTGCATACAAATGTGAAGGGTCATAATCATAATTGCACGAAGCCGGGGACGGGGGAGTGAGGGCCATATAAAAGAGTTTTGAGGCTGGGAGCGGAGGTAGGGGTGGGGGCAAGGAACAAAGCTCCTATAGGAGTTTCCTGCTACTAAACTCATAATCAAGCAAGACAATTTTGTGGGATATTTTGCTAGAGAGGTATACAACATAATCCTTATGTATTTTTGTTACATATAAAATTAGAAGATGCATAATATTTCCTAAAAATGTCACTAAGGTTATGTACTTTACTTAATGACGGAGAAGTCCAATTGTCACCATGTCATCTAGCACAAGGCCTTATAAATAAACTTTGGATACCCATAATCATCACAAACCATGCATATTGATTAAGACGTATTGTTTTGCGCTTGTGAGAGTCAAACATAAGAACTTTAGGAATTACCCAATAGTGGAGCTCCCATACTGAACCTCTTAGTCACCGGGCCACCCGTGCGGGTTATATATACTTAATTTATAATGAAAAAAATAATAGTTTCTATTGGTTAGGTTTGTACCCAATCTACCTCTCTCATATCTCTATCAAATAGACTAAACTAGGTGTAGTTTTTTTTTTTATGATTGAAAGTGTTAGTGTGTGTGTGTGTGTGAGATTCAGTTTAGAGAAGTGAGAAAGAGTTAGGGAATGAGTTA